TCACCTCATAGAAATCTCGAGCTCATAATCTAATTGTTAAATAGCGTAAAGAATTCTCCGGCAAAAATGTGTCCGACCCACTTTTCAAGCCTTTTGCGAATTCTAAATCTCACCGAAATTAAAGACATTGTAATACTTGTTGTTTTTAGGTTATTCGGGTTACCTTAGCTGGCGTGCATTTTGATACTAACTCTTTGTTTCTGGTGGAAAAAGTGATAGAAAAATGCGGAAAGAAGTAAATAACTTACAGGCAAGGCCGCCTGTAAGTTATATACATCTTTCCATCGTTGTTTTTAAGGCTTTCCTGGCGCAAACAGTTTCCATTCTACGCGGTAGAAAAAGTGTATTTGGATAACTTATGTTCTTCATATTGTTTTGTATAGAGCGGTTACCAAGCCTCTGGAGATTATCAAGCACCGTAGGTTTGGTAGTGCAGAGAATGTGAGCACTACTGCGTCAAGTCCCGGATCAAGTATGTATCACTATGCTGTTTGTGTTGTTTAACGCTTTTCACTGCAAAAGAACATCTTCCTTCGCAGTAGTTCTTATTTTCACGGCTTATTTCCATTACTTTAGAAGGGGCAGTCTACTTTGTGAAATCATAAGTTGTGTCGACACCAGAGACTTTGTGGTTAGGTAGACCACTTTGAAAGTTACGTGGTTTTTGTTGCACCTGCAAAGACAGCAGAGGGCCTGAGATCCTAGTCCGATTTCGTGTCCCATAGAGCGTTTTCACATGACGTCACGGCAGCCATGTTGGTGTGCCAAAACAATGAAGCGGCACCCATTGTTGGTGTACCAAAACAATGAACCAGTAGCCATATTGGTGTTCCAAAACAATTAAACGGCAGCCATATTTGTGCGTCAATAGCCTGTGTAATACTGGCTAGTTTACCGAACCAATCCTGCGGGAGTTGAACTCGTTTCTGATGTAAACATTTTCTTTAGTTCCAATCAATTTGCAAGTGTGCTGGCCACATGAGTGAAAACACCCTATGCAAGATTTCCCAACGGTAAAGGGCTAGTAACAGACTTCTTTTTAACGTTTGTTATTGTGGCAGCGATAAATCGCGGCAACCGTCTTTTTTTAACTACGAATGAAAATGTCAAAGTTGGCAAACGAAAGCTCTCTAAAATCATGTAGAACAAACTCGTTGGCTTTGTTTCTGTGACTTATTCTCGTAGTTGGACTCGCACCTAGTGGTCCCTGTCTTCTAGTGAAGATGTTGGGTTTTAGTTTCTTTTCTCGTGATCAAGTAACAGTTTACTTCACTGTACAGTAGCGAAAATGTGGGTAAGAAAAATGGTTGGGCGATTTCTCCAAGTTCTCGCCACTTTATCTGGGGCGAGGCTCATCTCGCGGTCCCTTATGGGATCGTTGTTGGGGACATCTTTTGTTTTGTCCTTGGTAACGGTCTCACAAGCCACTGCGAGATGAGAAGACTTGCCCTAGGTTTCTTCTCGTAGCGAATTGTGGAGGAGTTGCCGTGTGAAGACTTTTTGTGATTGGAAAGTGGTGTGTGTTATAATTTCAGAGATAGATGGACTTGAAGAAGAACCTAGCAGTCCTGCAGGTGAAGATAGTTTCGCAGGAGATTCTAATCTCAGGTAAATCTAAACGTGTTCTCAGCGGCCGTAATCTTTTCGTTGTCACGCAACTGTTCTCGCTCTTGTGTGACATAGAACGTGATGGTTGCACACCATAGAGTGGTTTGATTTTCTTTTCAATCGACCAAAATCGAGGAACTCCAGAAATCGCCACCGATTGTAACCAGTGTTACATGCACTAGTCACTGGTAAACTTGTTTCAGAACTTCTGTGTCGTACTATTTTGCTTGTTTTGAAGGGTGTGAAGAGGGTTGGAGAGGAGGGAAGGGGTAAGGTTTGATTCGGAGAAGAGAAAAGCGTGAAGAGATCAAGGTGACTGGCTGGGTAGAATTAAAACCAGACAGTTACAGGGCAGTTTACTGTCCATCTTTGCAAAGACGTCGTGAAATATTTTTACTCAAATTAAGCCCGGCCAGATACAACAGCGATGATGATTCTTCCAGTGTAGCATCAGCCACGCACATCGGGTGAGTCCGAAAATCTGACAAAGTAGATTCAATTCCGTCGATTCGGTAGTAAGTTCCCATGTGAACACTGCTAGCCTGCGTAGCAGTCTTTTCCGTTCCCTCTAAACGGGAGAAAGCGAGAGCCAAGGGGAAGTCGCGCGAAAGCATGGGGCGAGAGCAAAAAGTTAGAAAAAGGGGGAGGGGGTCCTGTCACTAATTTTTTGTTACCTCTTTCCCCGTGCCCTCGCGCGACTCCTGCTTGCCTGAAAGGAAACGGAAAAGACTGCTACGCAGGCTAGAACA